CGTTCGTTCCCTCATCTATGTTCATGAGCTTTGGGTTGTGACCGAAAGAACGAGATCTCGGATACAAACGGCCGAAATGAGTTTTCTCCGCAGGGTGTCTGGGCTCTCTCTTTGAGATAGGGTGAGAAGCTTGATTATCTGGGAGGGATTTAGAATAGAGCTGCTGCTTCTCCACATCGAGAGGAGCCAGTTGAGGTGGCTCGGGCATCTGGTTAGGATGCCTCCTGGACGCCTCCCTGGTGAGGTGTTGCGGACACGTCCCACCAGGAGGAGACCCAGAGGAAGACCCAGGACACGCTGGAGGAACTATGTTTCTCGGCTGGCCTGGGAATGCCTCGGGATTCCCCCGGAGGAGCTGGACCAAGTGGCTGGGGAGAGGGAAGTCTGGGCCTCCATACTTAGGCTGCTACCCCCGCGACCCGACCCCGGATAAGCGGAAGAAAATGGATGGATGGATGAAAAGAAAAGCAAAAGCTGATGTGGCAGCAAAAAAAACTTACAACAGAGGAACTCAGGCTGAACAGGAACAGGGACAGATCACACACCATGGAAGGATAATCCTTAGACAGAGAAACAAAGATAAGATGCAGGATATATAGGCACGTTAATGAGGGGTAAATAGGAAACAGCTGGGCAAAGTGACAAGTGGATGGCATTAGTTAATAGTGGAGGACAACTGTGAGAGAGGCAGGAGAATAGGGAGAACAGAAAGACCACACGAGGGCAGCACACACCAAGGAAACAATCCTCACAGTACCCCCTCCCCCAAGGGTGTCCCTTCATGTCCCAAGACCTCCCCCTAACAACAAGGGTGGGAGGAGGGGGGACCGAGAAGATGGAGGGCACGAGATGGGACACGAGAGAAAGAAAAGGAAACAAAAAAAAAAACAGAGTGAGGCCTGTGAACTATACACAAGGACTAACACAAGAAAACACAAAAAGTTCAGGTGGGCAGTCAAGAGGCCATCAAATTTGCTGGAGCAGATCGGGCGTGTGGCCAGGAGGTCATCCAGCATGGGGTAGCAGTTCCGGTGGGTGGCCAGGAGGCTTACCAATGTATGATGGGAGTTCAGGAGGGCGACCGTGAGGGTGACCATGAGGGTGACCGTGAGGCCGTCTAGAGCGGGACCAGAGTTCGGGTGGATGACCCGGGGACCATCCAGAGTGGAACCAGAGTTCGGGGAAAGATGGAGTGGGGCCAGTGACGGTGGTTCTGGCAGCTGCTGGGCCAGAGATGGTAGTGCTGGCAGCTGCTGAGCCAGAGATGGTAGAGCTGGCAGCTGCAGGGATGGACCAGGGTTCTACAGCCAGGGAGTCGTGTCTGGGTTCAGCAGCTGGGGAGTCGGACCTGCGTTCTACAGCCAGGGAGTCAGTCCTGGGTTCAGCAGCCAGGGAGTTGGGCCTGGGTTCAGCAGCCAGGGGGTCGGTCCTGGGTTCAGCAACCGTCATGGCGACCTCTGTGGCTGCAGTTGCTAAGAAGGCCTCGGGGGTTGCATGTGGCACGAGATCCACCTCGGGGGCTGCATGCGGCACGGGATCCACCTCAAGGGCTGCATGCGGCGCAGGATCCACTTCGGGGGCTACATGCGGTGCGGGATCCACCTCGGGGGCTGCATGCACTGTTGTTGAGATGGGCGTCAACACCTTTGTTGCTGAGGCAGGCGTTGAGACCTCTGTTGTTGCAGCTGAGTCTTCGGAAGCAGAATCTTCGGCGGCTATGGAGACCTCAACAGACAAAAACAGTTAAGGTGGGAACAGAACAGACAGGAGGCCGGGAGACCATTCATCGGGCCAGGGCCAGTCAGGCAGGTGGTCGAGAGGTCGTCCATCAGGCCATTATTCAGGCAGGAACAGGACAGGCGGAGCAGGAGTGATGAACTCGGTGGACGGGCCAGGAGCGAGGACCACAGCAGACGCACCAGGAGTGAGGACCTTAACGGGCGGACCAGGAGCAAGGACCTCAGCAGGCAGACCAGGAGCGAGGACCTCAGCGGGCAAGTCAGCAGCGAGGAGCTCAGCAGGCGGGTCAGCGGCGAGGAGCTAAACAGGTGGGTCAGCTGCGAGGAGCTCAGCAGGGTCTTCAGCGGCCGGATCAGGAGCAGACGTGGTTGGTGCAAGGTCCATTGGAGGCAACTCTCTGGAACCCCTCTGTCGACGATCTCTCCAATGTGGGAGGTGACGTGGTTCAGGTTCAGGACCGGAAGCGAAGACCTCAGGCGGACCAGGGACGAAGATCTCTGGCGGGCCAGGATCTTCTGCGGTCGGTACAGGAACCACAGGAGCGTCAGCAGCTAACGCGTGACCTCAGGAGTGGCAGCAGGAACCAGAGTGGCTGACGTGGTGATCTCAGGAGCGGCAGTAGCAGGAACCAGAGGAGGATTAGTAGTGGTTGTCCTGAGACTTGTAGCAGGCATGGAGGATCTGTGAGAGACATGGTCGAAAACACTAGGAGCCAGTGTATCTGGTAGGTGCTGCAGTGGTTCTTTATACAGTTCTTTAAGAGTCCTTATTTTTATGAGTATTGCAAAATATTCTGGTAGTTCAATGAGTCCAGGTTTGGATAGTGATAATTTCTCCATGATAGAGAAAGTAGTGAATCTGTGTTTACTGCCTTGGAGAGTAGCGGATGTGTACAGTTTCTGCAGTTGTAGGTTCAAGGAAGTGAGATCAAAGTGAGAATTATCAGAGGAGTCACTATAATCCAATTGAAAGACATCAGCAGACTCTGGTGGTGAGGCACAACAATGAGAAGTGTCGTCTGGGATCTTCACTGGAACACAGGAAGAGCTTTGAGGGACCTCCTTCTGGACCCTCTCGGAGGAAAAATGAGAGGCGTCCTCCAGGACCTGCTCAAAGGCACTAAGAGCAGAGGAACCGTTGCGGCTGCCACTCATTGAGATGCAGGAAGGAGTGGATGGCACTGGAGGAGAATCAGTGGACCAGCTTTGGGTCCAACGATGATACCCCTTTCGACGGTGACGAGAAGAGATGTGGAGAGGCAAGGCGTGAGGAGCTGCTGATTCCTTGTGTGACTCGGGTGAAGTGTCATTTTTGCTGGGTGTCGGAGCAGGAGGCTGAGGGAGAACAATGCGCAGCATGCGCCTTTCTTCATAAATCTCCGACAGAATCTCTGACATCCCTGGGGAATCACATAAACAAGGAAGGCAAAAATCTGCCCCAGCATGTCTTTTGTGGCTGTCCATCTTAATTCCAGATCCTTGGAGGAAGCCTTAGTATCCACGTATCTCCGCATTATTTTGCAGAGATGCTGATGATCCTCTGGATCAAGACCCGTGAGAAACAGGCAACCTGCTGGGTTCATAGTTGGTCCGAGGATTCTGTTATGATCTGTGTTTAGTTGAACCCAGTGACACAGGTAAGACCCAACGCAGGCAGGACTCTGACTCCATCCATCCATCCATCCATCCATTTTCTTCCACTTATCCGGGGTCGGGTCGCGGGGGTAGCAGCCTAAGTATGGAGGCCCAGACTTCCCTCTCCCCAGCCACTTGGTCCAGCTACTCAGGGGGAATCCCGAGGTGTTCCCAGGCCAGCCGAGAAACATAGTCCCTCCAGCGTGTCCTGGGTCTTCCTCTGGGTCTCCTCCCGGTGGGACATGTCCGCAACACCTCACCAGGGAGGCGTCCAGGAAGCATCCTAAACAGATGCCCGAGCCACCTCAACTGGCTCCTCTCGACGTGGAGAAGCAGCGGCTCTACTCTGAGTCCCTCCCGGATGATCGAGCTTCTCACCCTATCTCTAAGGGAGAGCCCAGACACCCTGCGGAGAAAACTAATTTCGGCCGTTTGTTTCCAAGTTCTCGTTCTTTCGGTCACAACCCAAAGCTCATGACCATAGATGAGGGTAGGAACGTAGATCGATCAGTAAATTGAGAGCTTTGCCTTTTGACTCAGCTCTATCTTCACCATGACAGACCTGTACAGCGCCCGCTTCACTGCAGACGCTGCACCTATCTGCATATCAATCTCATGTTCCATTTTTCCCTCATTCGTGAACAAGACCCCAAGATACTTGAACTCCTCCACTTGGGGCAGGACCTCCTCCCTGACCTGGAGAGGGCACTCTACACTTTTCCGGCTCAAGACCATGGCCTCGGATTTGGAGGAACTGATCCTCATCCCGGCCGTGTCGCACTCGGCTGTGAACCGCTCCAGCGAAAGCTGTAGATCACAATCTGATGAAGCCAACAAGACCACATCATATGCAAAAAGCCTATGCTGACTCGAAAGCTGACTCGATTGATCATATATAAATAAAACTATTTATTGAAAAGAAAAGTAAAAGCTGACGTGGCAGCAAAAAAGTTACAACAAAGGAACTCAGGCTGAACAGGAACAGGGACAGATCACACACCATGGAAGGATAATCCTCAGACAGGGAAACAAAGATAAGATGCAGGATATATAGGCACGCTAATGAGGGGTAAACAGAAAACAGCTGGGCAAAGTGACTGGTGGACAGCATTAGTTAATAGTGGAGAAAATATGTGAGAGGCAGGAAAATAGGGAGAACAGAAAGACCACACGAGGGCAGCACACACCAAGTAAACAATCCTCACAGATCTGACATTTTATTTTGTTTTTTGCCAAAAGACAAGCAATCTCTTCCTCCTCCATTGATGCCATGACTGAAATGGTGAGAAATTAAGGATTTTGTCACAAGCAAATTAAAATCAGGCGCAGCATGGCTGCAGGAGGATCTGGAGACTTCCTGGTTGGCTGCTCTAATGTGTGGGCTACAGGGTCAATGCGCCCTGTTTTTTTTTTTTTTAATCTTTAAAACTTTTCATGAACAACATATAAACAGAACACTGCTGCGGCAGGGGCTGCCAGCTCTCGTTTGTTTGTTTTTTTTGCAACCTGTCAATCAATCCAGTAGGCTTGTCAGCAAACGACCTACTAGCGACCTCAATTTGTCCCAAAGGTAAACAACCCTTTTCTGCGGAGCTGACTGCAGCTGCTCAGGGTGGACGCTCGAGCATGAAGTCTCAACCCTCTTTGGACAGTGCGCACAGTTTCCGCGCAGCTGACAAGACGTGCGAATATACTGGAATATTTAGTTTTTACCACTAAAAGTGGCTGAACAAGTCAATAAATTTTGAAATGTATATTTTCCCACACACAGCTTCTTGACTTTGACATGCATTTTAAAATAAATATTGAAAAAATAGCCATATAGCATTTGATGTTCTTTATATGTGTGTGTTTTGATTGTAACAATATCAATGTTAGATTGTAGTATACCTAAATCTGGTCTAATAGGGGCTATACTTTTTAGTGCATGCACTAATGAATTATTTTAAAAACAAAATGTTTTTATGAGGAAAATAGTCTGTGGTAAAAACTATAAAAAATGTTTTCTACCAATAAAACTTGAAAAAAAAAATCAAAGGTACAAAAACTAGATTAAAAAAGCAGACATGGTCAAAAGCAAAATGTTGAAATATTGTCTGGAAACGTATTATTGAAAACCATCAAAAGTACTGAGGGAAATGTAAGTTCTACTATTTTTGTAGTACAATTAAATTGTATGCAAAACTAAATAATAATGAAAATAGTAGACAAATGAAGAGGGGCCATGTCATCATCAAACTGTGATTTGATTAGAGGACTAAAGGCCTCATCATCAGCTGTAGGACTATAAAGTTTAGCCTCTGAGAATAAACAGATTTTGGTCAAGTTGAAGGGTTGCGTGCTTGAGTTTCTTTGAAAATGTGTTTTTGCATTTCTGTAATTGTAATGCTTGTAAATGTTTTGGTAGCTTTAGCTGAAAATGACACGGCCTTCTGTGAGATGCTGGGGAGCCCTGAGATTCCTCTGTTGTACAAGAAAGGAGACATCACTATTGGAGGAGTTTTCTCTATTCATACCCAAATCTCAACATCTTTATTCTCATTGACTGATAAGCCAGAACCTCTCTTGTGCTCCAAGTACTGGGTATTTCTGTTTTCACTATCAGCATCCTAACCAAAGATTAAGTGCACAAAACAATGACCTGTTTCTTTTTCCAGGATAGATTTAAGAGAATTTCGGTTTGCTCAAACAATGATTTTTGCCATTGAGGAGATC